CGCGACAGAACCTAGCAATCAGCCATGCATCAAGATTAATGACCCATTTATTATCCCTTACATTTTTATGCAATAGAGTTATCTATTCAAATGTTTTATGTGACTGAAAATTGCCAGGGAAGCAGATTCAAATCAGATCGATCGAAAGCCACAAAGCATTCAAGGTTAATCATTGACTACTTTAAATTTGTTGTGTATGTCTTGTTGTATTTTACTAACGGCACGGATGGGACAGCTATTGAACAATGCAAAAAAGAAAAAAAAACCTGGGAAATAAATACTTACAGTGCTATTAGATGAGGCAAAGGAACAAAAATATGAAGAGAACAGAGAAAAGATTCCTATTAACTAGAAAAACGAGGTAGATTTATTGATTGGATGTAGACTGCTATGGAGAGTCAGTTTGGTATAATGTTTAAGGCACAGGGCTGGAAACCAGGAGGCTCGGAGTTTGGACTACTGCAACGCGCAAGTTGCAAACTACTGCAAGTTTGGACTACGTCTAGACTACTGCAACGCGCTCTACATGGGGCTACCCTTGAAAAGTATTCGGAGACTACAGTTGGTCCAGAATGCAGCCGCGCGAGTGATAGTGGGTGCTCCTCGGCACACCCACGATACACCTATCCTCCGTGAGCTGCACTGGTTGCCTATTTAAGGTGTTGGTTATTACCTTTAAAGCTCTATATGGCTCAGGGCCAGGCTATTTGCGAGACCGCCTACTACCTCATAGTTCCCTTCGTCCGGTTAGATCCCACAGGCTGGGCCTCCTTCAGGTCCCGTCGGCCAAGCAGTGCCATTTGGCGGGGCTGCGGAGGAGGGCTTTCTCTGTGATGGCGCCCACATCTTGGAATCAGCTCCCCCCAGAGATTAGGACCACTCCCACCCTGTTGGTTTTCCGCAAGCTGCTTAAGACCTGGCTTTTCCAGCAGGCCTGGGGTTTATAAAATCTGACCCCTGGATGAATGTTACTATATTGTTTGTTTTGTCATGTTATATGGTGTTTTTATTGTTAGCCACCCGGAGTCCTGCGAGAGTGGAGCGGTTTATAAATTTTAAAAATAAATAAATAAAAAATAAATAAATAGTCCTACCTTAGGCACAAAGCCAGCCTAGTGACCTTGAGCCAGTCATATTCTCTCAGCCTTAAGAAGGAGGCAATGGCAAACCACTTCTGAAAAACCTTGACAAGAAAAATGCAAAGATTTATCTGAGCCATTTCCAAGAATTCAACATGATTTAATGGAAGGAGGGGAAAAAAAACTATAGGAATATCATAGTAATGCCAATTTTTTTTGTACCTTGGCCTCCACTGGTTGCCCCTGAAACCATAAAATGAATCAGTTGTTTTATGATTCTTCTTCCATCTTCACGAGAATCAATTCTTTAATACTTTGCCTTGTTTTTTAATGCGTGTGTTTGAGTAGGTGAGGTAGAAACCACAAAGATTTTGCAAGTGTCACTGCACACATGACATTGTGCATCATTGCACTTGTGACAGGATGGGATTTGAGGCAGCACTTGCTTCCTCTGTGGCCAGAAATCCCCTGTTTACATTTTGCTGCGTTCCAGAAAAGTGCTATTATTTATGTCGCAAATTGTCGGTCTTTGGAAAAAACAACAGATCCTGATTAGGATCCTTACTGGAATTGAAGAATGAAAGTGGTTGGTGTTTAGATCCAGTTTAAAGAAGATTGGGCCAACAGCAGCTGATTCCCCTTCATCCATTCACCATTGAAAAGGAGAAATTAAGACCACAACATGGAGTGTTCTAATGAACCTTGTTCTCCATGATGGTTTGTTATCTTGGTCAAAGATACAGGGAGTCCTCGACTTCATTTAGTGACCGATTGAAGTTAAACATCACTGAAAACAGTGACACATGACCATTTTTCACATTTACAACCGAGGCAGCATCCCTGTGATCACGTGATCAAAATTCAGATGCTTGGCAACTGGCATGTACTTATGACAGTTGCAGCGTCCTGGGATCCTGGGATCCCCTTTTGCAACCTTCTGACAAGCAAAGTTAATGGGGAAGCCAGATTCACGTAACAACCACATTACTAACTTAACAACTGTGGTGATTCACTTAACAACTGTGACAAGAAAGGTCGTAAAACGGGGCAAAAATTCAACTGTCTCGCTTAGCAACTGAAATGTTGGACTCAGTTGTCGTAAATCGAGGTCCTGTCAGGAGGAAAACATATTGCTATTGCAGAAAGTGAACATAATTCATCTCCATCTGCCACTCATTCTGCCCGAGCTTTTTTCAGTTCTCCAAATCTGCCTCTTTCGCTCTGCCAAAGCCTTAGCAACTGGATTCTCAGTTCCTCTAAAAGCATCCCATTTATTTTCTCGAATTAAATCATCCCCGGAGAAAACACACCTACTCCAAACATACAGCTTTGAAACTGACTCAATTTCTGCTTAACCCACGACAGAAAATAGGGAACCTCACTGAGTTTAATAGCACCTTCCCTGTCATTCCGGAGACGGTTATTCGCACAGCATGAATCATTTGATGACACAGAAAGCTTTTCTCTGCCCATTCATCGGTGTCAAAAAAAAAAAAAAATCTGCAATGGTTTGGTCTGTCAACTTAATAACAATCTTTTTTTTAAATTTCATTTTCCAGAGATCTGACTACAGATAGTCTTGTCAACATCCAGCTCAAGAATCCAAATAAAACTCCGGGTTCGTTCTATTTCTGAAAATCTTCCTGTTTATTGGTTATATCGAAGCAAAACTAACTCTGAGGTTTCAACACCAATTCATGGACTTCAACAATAGTTTTCTCAGCCAAACCCCCAACATCTTAGGTAATCCATATCAACAAGTTCACTTTGTTATGGGAAATGGAAAGATGTATATTCCTTGCAGTCATCTGATCCTTAGCACTCTGAGGTTGGTGTAGATGACTGCAAAGAATATAAATCCTTCCATTTCCCACCAGTCAATTAGAAGTGAAGAAGCTTCTTGCATGAGAAGCAAAACGTTTTCAAAGAAAAAACAACAAGAAGAAAGTTCAGTTGCCTTTTGGGGGAGGGGGGAAAGGAAGCCTCTTTGGATCAATCTTGACAACTTTAAGATGTGTGAACTTCAACTCCCAGAATTCCCTCAGCCATTCATTAATTCTGGGATTTAAAGTCCTCATGTCTTAATGTTGCCAAGATGGAGAGATACTCTTTTGAGTTGCAAAAGCAGACGATGGTGAGGATGGCTGAAAAGATTATTGGCAGTTCCCTCCATCCCATCCAGGACATGGCACAGAAGCGTTGCTTGAGCAGGATCCATAAGATTATCTGGGACGCTACACATCCTCTTCACGCCCTGTTTTCCTTGTTACCTTCTGGGAGGAGGCTTCATGGTATCCGAAGCAGAACATCCAGATTCAGTCATAGATTTGTTCCACATAATATTAACCTTGTGAACTCTCAAGCTTCCTCCTTCCGTTATGTATTCAAAATGGACAGCAATTAATATTTATATGTTACTTATATGTAAGGTTGTAGGTCTATATATATGTTGTATAGAGTATGTTTAAATGTGTGTTATGTATGTGTACACTTTGAGAGCAAACAACTAAATTTCATTTTTAATGTGTGCCATTGTACCCACAGTAAAAAATGACAATAAAGGTTATCTATCTATCTATCTATCTATCTATCTATCTATCTATCTATCTATCTATCTATCTATCTACCTCTATATCTATCTGATATCTATCTATCTATCTATCTATCTATCTATCTATCTATCTATCTATCTATCTACCTATCATCTACCTCTATATCTATCTATCTATCTCGATATCTATCTATCTGTCTACTGCTATATGTATGTATGTATGTATGTACGTATCTATCTATCTATCATCTAGGTCTATACATATGTTGTATATAGTATATTTAAATGTGTGTTATGTATGTGTACACTTTGAGACCAAGCAACTAAATTTCATTTTTAATGTGTGCCATTGTGCCCACAGTAAAAAATGACAATAAAGATTATCTATCTATCTATCTATCTATCTATCTATCTATCTATCTATCTATCTATCTATCTATCTATCTATCTATCTATCTATCCTATTTTTCCCCTCTCTCCTTTGCCTCTAATAATGCTTGGGGGGGGGGGAAGCCTCTTCCTGTCCTGCACCAACCTGTCACCCTCACCTGCACAAATGCAAAATGAAACAGGACAGATCACCCCTGGAATACTGCATCCAATTTTGGTCACCATATTACAAAAAAGACGTTTAGACTTTGGAAAAAAAATGCAAAAAAGAGCAACTAAGATGATTAAAGGCCTGGAGACTAAAACATATGAAGAACGATTGCAGGATTTGGGTTTGGCCGTTCTAGAGAAAAAAAGGACTTGGGCGGACATGATAGCAGGATTCCAGTATTTGAGAGGCTGCCACAAAGAAGAGGGGGTCAAACTATTTTCCAAATCATTGGAAGGCAGGACAAGAAACAATGGATGGAAACTAATCAAGGAGAGAAGCAATCTGGAATTAAGGAGAAACTTCCTAACAAGGAGGACAATTCATCAGTGGAACAGCTTGCCACAAGAAGTTGTAGGTGGGTCTATATATGGGTCTATACGTACGTTGTATATAGAATGTTTAGGTGTGTCATGTATATGTTTCACTTTGAGAGCAGGCAACTAAATTTCATTTTTGATGTGTGCCCTTGTGCCCACAGTAAAAAAAAATGACAATAAAGGTTATCTTATCATATCTTATCTTATATCTTATCTTATCTTCACCGCTGGAGCTTTTTAAGAAGAGACTGGACAGCCTCTTCTCTGAAATGGTACGGGGGGGGGTCTCCTGCTTGAGCAAAGGGCTGGACTAGAAGACCTCCAGGGTCCCTTCCAGCTCTATTCTGATTCTGATTCGGATGCCAAAAAAAAGAAAGGAATAGTTGCCGGAAGACAGCTGGCAGGAGCCGCGCGCGCTTTGCATGGCGGGACACGTAGTCCCGACTGCCCGCGGGAGCCTGGCCGGCTACAGCGGCTGGAACTGCAAGTCCCGAGAGGTTTTGCTCTCCGCGGCTGCCGTCCGCGCCCAGGAGCCCCGCGCGGGCGGCGCATCGGGCTCTATTGTCTGGGCATCTCCCTCCGTCCTGCCTCCCTTTCCCCCCGCTGGGCTTTTGCATCTTAGGCGCGGGTGGGGGGCGGGTGGGGGGGCAGCAGGGCTGGCCTTGCGAGCGCAGCAGCATGGCTGAGGAGCAGGAGATCATGTGCAAGCTGGAAAGCATCAAAGAGATCAGGTAAGCGGGGGGGGGATGCAGGGAGGGGGCTAGGTAAGGATGCATCGCTCCGCCACTTTCCTTGGGGGCCGTTTTCGCGGGGGGGGGGCGCAGGGGTTACGCAAAAGAAAGGACCCCCGGATCGCGGAAGGGGAAAATTCTTCCATCCATCCAAGGGTCTCTTCCTTCGTCCATTCCCAGGAATACGCCTGGATTTCCCATCCCCAGCGTTTTTGGTTTTTTTTTTTTTGCACAAAACACCCTCGGTTGCAAAATTCTCCTTTCTTGGAAGAATTTGGGTTTGGTGGGGGGAGAGGGGGGAGGACTCGCAACCCGTTGAGCGAACTGCCCCGGCTGGGTTTCACACGATCATAGGGTTCGGAAGGGACCTTGAAGATCTTCCAGAGACACGGAGCTAACATGGTCCAAGCTAAGCCAGGGGGGCTGGGTCCCAGAGGTGCTTTAATAATAATAATAGTAGTAGTAGTAGTAGTAGTAGTAGTAGTAGTAGTAGTAGTAGTAGTAGTAGTAGTAGTAGTAGTAGTAGTAGTAGTAGTTGGAAGGGACCTTGGAGGTCCAAGGTCCAACCCCCTGCTCAGGCAGGAAACCCTACACTAGGGGTAGTCAACCTTGGCTCTTTTATGACTCGTGGACTTCAATTCCCAGAATTCCTAAGCTGGCTCAGGAATTCTGGGAGTTGAAGTCCACGAGTCATAAAAGAGCCAAGGTTGACTACCCTTGCCCTACACCATTTCGGACAGATGGCTGTCCAGTCTCTTCTTAAAAACTTCCAGTGTTGGAGCATTCACCACTTCTGGAGGCAGGTTGTTCCATTGTTTAATTGAAGCTTCTTCAACTCTGACTAGAGGGTGGGGAGTGGAAGGATGGATGCTCCTTGCAGACAAAACTGGCCATTTGCACTCTTTTAGTGCGTATAGTCAAGGCCGTGGTTTGCCCAATTGCAATGTAGGGCTGTGAAAGTTGGACCATAAGAAAGGCTGAGCGCCAGAAAATTGAGACCTTTGAACTTTGGTGCTGGAGAAGACTCAGTCCTGCGAGTCCCCTGGACTGCAAGGCGATCAGACCGGTCAGTCCTAGAGGAGATCAACCCCGACTGCTCTTTAGAAGGCCAGATCAAATATTTTGGCCACCTAATGAGAAGGAAGGACTCACTGGAGAAGAGCCTGATGCCGGGGAAGATGGAGGGCAATAGAAGAAGGGGACGACAGAGAAAGAGGTGGCTGGATGGAGTCCCTGAAGCAGGAGGTGTGAGCTTCAATGGACTCCAGAAGATGGTAGAGGACAGGAAGGCCTGGAGGAACGTTGTCCATGGGGTCGCGATGGGTCGGACATGACTTCACAATTAACAACAACAACAAAGAGAGTCCCTGAGGCCACTTGGAGATTTACCTGTGTCCTCAGGGTCACCTGAGTGGTGCAAAGGACTCGGATAAACCTCCAAGCGGCCTCAACGACTCTCAGAAAGAGTGCTAAGGATCAGATGACTGCAAGGAATATCAATCCTTCCATTCTCCACCATTCGGTCAGAATGGAAGAAGCTTCTTGGATGAGAAGCGAAAAGTCTTCAGGCAAAACAAGAAAGTCCAGTTGCCTTTGGAAAGAAAGCAACTTTGGGACAACCAGAACCTGGATGACTTGAGAATCTCCATAGACGTGTATGTGTGTGTGTATGGAGCAGGGAAGGTACAGAGCTTAACAGTCCCGGCAAAGAGCTGCTGGCGAGAACAGTCAGGGAACAGATCCGCTCCAAAATTGTGGAAGAACACAGTGGCATTGTGGAAGGAGACTTCAGGTCATTAGAAGCTTGATAAGGAAGTTGCAAAGGTAGTCCTCGGCTTATGACTACAATGGAGCCCCAAAGCTGTCTTGCTAAGTGAGACATTTGTTAAGTGAATTTTGCCTCATTTTACGACCTTTCTTGCCATAGTGCTTAATTGAATCACTGCAGTTGTCAAATTAGTTATTAAGCAAATCTGGCTTCTCCGTTCGCTTTGCTGGTCAGAAGGCAAAAAGGGATCACATGAGCCCCCCCCCCCCAGGACACTGCAACCGTCATAAATATGAGTCAGTTGCTAAGCCTTCAAATTTTGATTCCGTAACCATGGAGATGCTGCAACAGTCGTAAGTGTGAAAAACGGTCATAAGTCTCTTTTTCAGTACTGTTGTAACTTGGAACCTTTGATGAGATAGTCCTCAACTTACAACAGTTTGTTTAGTGATCACTCAAAGTTACGACGACGCCGGAAAAAGTGACTCATGACCATTTTTCACACTTAGCGACCATCACAGTATCCCCATGATCATGTGATCAGAATTCAGGCACTTGGCAACTGACTCACATTTATGACGGTCGCAGTGTCCTGGGATCACGTGATCCCCTTTGGCGACCTTCTGACAAGCAAAGTCAATGTTAAGATTCACTTAACAGCCGTGTGACTAACTTCACAGCTGCAGTGATTCACTTAACAACTGTGGCAGAAAAGGTCGTAAAATGGGGCAAAACTCACTTAACAACTGTCTCACTTAGCAACGTAAATTTGGGGCTCAACTGTGGTCGTAAGTCGAGAACTGCCTGTAGTAGATCAGGAAGCTGTCTGACGCTCTGTAATGCAACCGAAAAGTTCTTTTAAATTGAACTTGTTGGGATTCAAAAAGATTTAAGAGGAAATCCAGGCAGGGATTTTGAGATGATGGGATTCTACTTCAGAATGTCGACTTCCAGACTAAGCTCTGAGGCACCCTTTGGCTTTAATTCTGAATCCACACATCATATTAAGTCAAGACATGCCGTGTGGCAGAATCCGCATATTCCGCCAAATTATAAACCGTGTTTTTTTCCCAACGGCGGTAGAGTTCACACCACCTTGTAAGCCAAAAGCCAAGCAAATTAAATGAATAACTTAGTATGATCTGTGTAGTGGGGGTCACACCTTGCTCTAAACCAGGGGTGTCAAACTGCCGGCCCACGGGCCGGATGCGTCACGCTGAAGCAGCGCCCACCCCATTGCCGGCAATGGCAAAACTGTCCCGATACATCGTGTCACATTGCAAGTTTGACATGTCTGCTCTAAACCATGGATGGTTTAACCATAGCTTAATGGACAAACCTCATTTGTGCTGCTTTTGCACAAAATCTAAGCTGCAAAATGCCAGCAATCATGAGTTGAACAGGATGTGGCCAAAACAGTCAACAGGTTGTCCCAAAAGTGTTTGTTTCAAGAGGCAACTGGGCCTCCTTATTTTTCTTCGAAGATGTTTCGCTTCTCATCCGAGAAGCTTCTTCAGCTCCGACTGAATGGTGAGGAATGGAAGGATTTATACTCCTTGCAGACAGCTGGTCGTTTGCTTTCTTTTATTCTCTTCCATTCCCCACCATCCAGCCAGAGCTGAAGAAGCTTCTCGGATGAGAAGCGAAACATCTTCAAAGAAAAACAAGAAAATCCAACTGCGTCCTGAAAAAACACCTTTGGGACAACGTGGATGACTGAGAATCTCCATAGACAGTCAACGGGGTAGGTTGCAAATAAGTAGAGCTTTCGTCCATCGTCGCAACGTCCATCTTGACGTCACAACCGCACCCTGCAGACCCCTTGGTTTGGGAGCTAATCTTCCCTTTCTCTCTCATTGCCAGACTCTCCTGTCTGCAGTGAGGAAGGCTCAAATGCCTCCTGGTGACCCAGCTTCTCTGTCTTCTCCATTCCTCCCCACCTCCCCCGTCCCCAGAAATAAAACACTGCAGATGGAAAAGATCAAAGCTCGCTTGAAGGCAGAATTTGAGGCTCTGGAATCCGAGGAGAGGCATCTGAAGGAATACAAACAGGAGATGGATCTCTTGCTGCAGGAAAAGATGGCGCACGTGGAGGAACTGAGACTCATCCATGCCGACATTAATGTTGTAAGTGGAGGGGACAGAGAGAGATTCCCGTTGCAACTTTCTGGCTGCTGATGCAGTCAGGAGGAATCTCCATTATCTTAATCAATGGGCAAAGGGAGAAAGACTTGAGGATCTAAAAGAGGGGTAGGCCACCTTGGCTCTTTGATGACGCGTGGACTTCAACTCCCAGAATTCCCGAGCCAGCCATGCTGAGGGGACAGGGAGAGGTTTCCAAGCTGAGCCATGCTGGCTCAGGAATTCTGGGAGTTGAAGTCCACGAGTCATAAAAAAGCCAAGGTTGCCTATCCCTGCCCTAGGCCGCTTTATGACTCGTGGACTTCAACTCCCAGAATTCCTGAGCCAGCCATGCTGAGGGGAAAGGGAGAGGTTTCCAAGCTGAGCCATGCTGGCTGAGGGATTCTGGGAATTGAAGTCCACACATCTTCAAGCTGCCAAAACTGAGAAACAGTGGCCTAGGCCCTAGACCAGGGGTAGGCAACCTTGGCTCTTTTATGACGTGTGGACTTCAACTCCCAGAATTCCTGAGCCAGCCATGCTGAGGGGAAAGGGAGAGGTTTCCGAGCTGAGCCATGCCGCTCAGGAATTCTGGGAGTTGAAGTCCACGAGTCATAAAAGAGCCAAGGTTGCGTACCTCTGACCTAAAGTCTTGTCTTCCAAAATGGTTACTATTAATTTTTATACAGGTGGTCCTTGATTTACGACCACAATTTAGCCCCAAATTTCTGGTGTTAAGCGGTGACAGATGTTAAGTGAATTTTGTCCCATTTTATGACCTTTCTTGCCTCAATTCTTAGGTGAATCACTGCAGTTAATAAATTTAATAATATGGTTTAAATGCATCCGGCTTCCCCGTTAGCTTTGGTCACAAAGGGGGATCATATGACCTCAGGACACTGCAGCCGTCATAAATATGAACCAGTTGCCAAGCGTCTGAATTTTGACCAGTGGCAATAGTAATAGCACTTAAGACTTATATACCGCTTCATGGTGCTTTACAGCCCTCTCTAAGCGGTTTACAGAGTCAACCTATGGCCCCCAACAATCTGGGTCCCTGTTTTATCCACCTTGGAAGGAGGGAAGGCTGAGTCAACCTTGAGCCAGTGAGAATCGAACCCCTGGCTGTGGGCAGAGTTAGCTTGCAATACTGTATTCTAACCACTGTACCACCACAGCTCTTTGATCACGTAACTGTGGGGATGCTGCAACAGTTGTATCTGTGAAACACAGTCCTAAGTTAATTTTTTCAGTGCCATTGTAACTTTGAATGGTCACTAAATGAACTGCTGTAAGTTGAGGATTACCTTTATCCTCCAGGTGACCCGGCTGTGTTTTCCAGAGTTTCCTGCCAACTTACTGAGGCTGGCTGAAAACTCTGGAGGCTGCAGGTCTAACGCACACCAAGCTGTGTGTTTTTCAGCCACATCCTTCTTTTTCTGTGTTCTGTGCCCAATAAGATACATCCTCTTCCTTGTTTTTCTGCTGTCTCTGGAATATTTTACCTGAGAAGAGAAAGTCTAGCCTTAGACCAGTGGTTCTCAACCTGTGGGTTGGGACCCCATTTGGGGTCGAACGACCATTTCACGGGGGTCGCCAAACAAGGCTGTCCACCATTTTCCCCCCTTTTCTTTGGCCACGCCTCTGGCACCCGGTGATGTATAAGTGGTTAGGGGTCACAACATGGGGAACTGTATTATGGGGTCGCGGCATTAGAAAGGTTGAGAACCATTGCAATCACCACCTGGCTATTTATTCAGCCTTCAGTGACCTCAGGTGGGAGAATTGGGACCAGCCATTAAGACAGTGGTTCTCAATCTTTTTATACTGACAATGCGCGGCGTGGCGCGCATGCGCGGCACCGCCCCCACACGCAGCACACATGCACGGCGGTGCCCCATACGCGGCGCGCATGCGTGGGGGCAGCCCCCATGCACGGGGTGCATGCGCGGGCTGCCCCATGCGCGGTGCGCATGTGTGTGCCGCCCCATTCGTCGCCCCATACGTGCCGCACATGCACGCCGCACATGCGTGCCGCACCGCACATGTGCGGTGCCGCCAGCTGAGGAAAAAAATGGCGGATCGCGTTGTTTGGCGACCCCCGTGAAATGGTCGTTCGACCCCAAATGGGGTCGCGACCCACAGGTTGAGAACCGCTGCATTAAGATGTGAGGAGGAGAGATCTGGATCTGGATCTCCTGCTTCTCTTCCAGATGGAGAACACAATCAAACAGTCCGAGAATGACCTGAACAAGCTCCTGGAGTCGACACGCCGCCTCCATGAGGAATACAAGCCTCTCAAGGAACATGTGGATGCTCTCAGGATGACCCTGGGCTTGCAGAGGTTGCCCGATTTGTGTGAAGAGGAAGAAAAACTTTCTCTTGAGTAAGTTGAGAAGCTGCAAAGCCCACCACTTCTGGGTCTGGTCGAAGAAAGGAGGGGAAAGGGAAGAGGTCCGTGGATGCATGAAAGCGTATATTGGGAGTAGCGATAAAGGAGAATATTTGTAGCTCGGGGTGGAAATGAGGGGTCCTTGGGGCTGTCTGAGCTGGGTGGTTTTCTTGCAGATGTTTCATTATCAAAGTAGGTAAAATCAATGATGGATTGTCTGGCACACTGATGATATTACCTAGTTTGGTGATGAAACATCTGCAAGAAAACTATCAAGCTCAGACAGCACCAAGAACCCCAGTTTCCTCCTTCTCTTCCTCCTCCTCTTCCTCCTCCTCCTCCTCCCTCCCCAAATCTTATTCCCTTCTTGCACTGAAGGGAATTTTGTAATGAAACATCTGCAAGAAAACTATCAAGCTCAGACAGCACCAAGAACCCCAGTTTCCTCCTCCTCCTCCTCCTCCTCCTCCTCCTCCTCCTCTTCCTCTTCCTCCTCCTCCTCCTCGTCAACAGTTGGATAATGAAATATCTGCAAGAAAACAACCAGGCTCAGAGAGCACCAAGGACCCCTCATTTCAACCCTGACCTACGAATATTCTCCTTTGTTGAGACCAAAAAACGGATCTAGCTGTTCTGGGTGATCCACTTCTGTAACTATATCCCACCCACTCCCCCAACCCCCCCCCCCAATCATTGCTCTATATTTCACAAACCAGGATGCTCCAGGGAGAAAACTAGAATATCCTGGAGATAGCATATGTCATTTGCTCTACAGAAATAAAAGGGAAATGAAAGAACTGGTCAGTTTCTGAATCTTTCAGCCCTGATAGTTGTTTTTTTTTTTGGCTTTGTGGTTTGCCTAGTTACTTCGAAAAGCAGAAAGCCGAATGGCAGACGGAGCCACAGGAACCTCCAATCCCAGAATCCTTGGCTGCAGCGGCAGCAGCTGCGCAACAGCTGCAGGTGGCCCGGAAACAGGACACAAGGCAGACAGCCACTTTCAGACAACAGCCACCTCCTATGAAGGTAAGTAGGCACAATTTCAGTAGTTAAAATTTTTTTTGTCTGTAGATCGCTGTTTTTCAACCTTGGCCACTTGAGGATGTATGGACTTCAATTCCCAGAATTCTCTAGCCAGCGTGGCTGGCTGGGGAATTCTGGGGGTTGAAGTCCACACTTCTTCGAGTAGCCCAGGTTGAAGAACACTAGTATAGTTGGTTCCATTATAAAACTAGACACCGTGGGATGTTTCCTGTTTCCCATGTGGCCCCAAATCTGAGAGTGCAACCAGCAATTTCAACCACAGAAACCTTTTATTCACCTTGAACTTCAGGTTCTTAGACTTGGTCCCAAACTGTGGAGCAAAAGTGAGTTTCTCCCGCTTGGATCATGAACATTTTGTGGGTTTTTTTTTTCCTGTTCTGTTCTGTGACGTTGGATTTTTCATATTTTTACTAACATATCTGAATTCTGGAACCGTGATGTAGGAAAATTTTTCATAGACAGATTGTGGGGAGAAGAAGTCCAAGGGAGGGAGGGGAGGGAGCCATGTATGATCAAAAGACTGAAGGCATTGCCAGTTGCCAGCTTATCTTAGAAACAGCAACTCAGCCCAGCTGGTGAACAACCTGGGAAGAAATAGTCCAGATCGTTCAAAGAAATTCTACTGAAACGTGCTATAAACAGGGCTAGGAAATTTCCATGATTCTGTCTTTACTCAGAGACTATCAATAAAGAATATCTGTCTGAACCCAAACAGTTATGCTCCTATGCCTGGAGGAAACCTCAGCCACGCTAGCACTGATGATGTTACCTAGCTGGGTAATAAAATGTCTGCCACCAATCAATCAGACTCAGAGCACCAAAGACTACACAGCTAAAGTTCCCTAATCAACTAGTTCCCTAACTAGGTAATTCTTTAATTAAGTACTACCCTAATCAAGGAACTATCAAGGAGAAAATCACACCCGCACCAATATGGGCAGGGCAAGCTATTGTATATAAAAGCAAACCCCACCCTCGCCAGTGCTGATGATGTTACCTGCTTGGGTAATGAAATGTCTACAACCAAACAAGCTTAGAGAGCATCAAGGTCTCTACAATAATGGTTTAGTCCAGGGGTAGGCAACCTTGGCTCTTTTAGGACTCGTGGACTCCAACTCCCAGAATTCCTGAGCCAGCATGGCTCAGCTTGGAAACCTCTCCCTTTCCCCTCAGCATGGCTGGCTCAGGAATACTGGGAGTTGAAGTCCACGAGTCATAAAAGAGCCAAGATTGCCTACCCCTGTCCTAGGTCCTCCTGTTCTAAGCGGTGAGCCTCCTAGACAGGGATAGGCAACCTTGACTCTTTTATGACTCGTGGACTTCAACTCCCAGAATTCCTCAGCCAACATGGCTCAGCTTGGAAACCTCTCCCTTTCCCCTCAGCATGGCTGGCTCAGGAATACTGGGTGTTGAAGTCCACGAGTCATAAAAGAGCCAAGGTTGCCTACCCCTGGTTTAGTCTGTAAGTTCTGGTTAACCAAACCATGACCCGGTGCTTTGTATGAGCCCAATCTGGGTCAGTCTTCCCAAGCTGAGCATCTTTGCCATCCCACTGACGGGGGGTCTCTAAACTCAGCAACTTTTAAGGCTTGTGAACTTCAAGTCCTAGAATTCTGGTCCACAAGTCTTCAAGTTGCCGAGTTTGGAGATACCTGTTCTAGGAATTCTGGTTCCTACAGCCCTGTTGGGGAAGGCCAATCCAAGCAAAGAGGGCCACGGTCTCTCCTTCCCACTCCTAACAGATCAACTTTGTTCTTCTTTCCAGGCGTGCCTCTCCTGCCACCAACAGATCCACCGGAACGCCCCCATCTGTCCTCTCTGCAAAGCCAAAAGCCGGTCTCGTAATCCGAAGAAGCCCAAGAGGAAGCAAGACGAATGAAAACACCGCAGAACCGTCTTGCCCAGCCGCTCCACCTCCCCCATCCCAAAACCGGAAGACCTTTTCCTCCTTTTGTGGTAGATCCGTCCAGATGACCCACATTTGTTGGCGTGTGAAACCTGAGTGTGACTTAAGCTTTTGTTCTATTTAATGTGTTAGTGCCGTCGGTTGAGTGACGCTGGTTTTCAGCCAATCTGGGAAGAGGCTGATTTTGGCGGAGACATGAAGACTGTGCTACCTTTGGACACCGCACACCCGCAGAGGCTACGCCACGCTGACGGCAAAGGGCATTTTGTGCAAAGAACACAACGGGTGGCTTGTCTCCTCTTTAATAGCTCGTGCTTCCTTAGCAGATGGACCTCAAGCTCCCTTTTTATTCAACTGATCAAAGGCTCATTGTTCTCATGACCTGTTTATTTTTTTAAATCAGGACAGTATTTTTGTACCAAGACTCTACTTTTCCATTCAGTCCCCAGTACTCCAGAGTCTTTTCATACAGATGTCAGGATGTGTAATGTTTATTTGGTTTTGTGCTTAGGCATAACTAGAGGGGCGCGATAGCTCAACGGTTAAAGAAGCTGAGCTTTTCAGCTGCAAAAGTGACAGCCCGGGTTGGAGACCCCAGCTCCTTACGATGGGGTGAGCTCCCGTTCCTTGCTCCAGCTCCTGCCCATCTAGAAGTTTGAAAGCATGAAAATGCAAGTAGATAAATAGGTACCACTTCCCTGGGAAGGTAACAGCATTCTGTGCACCTCAGCATATAGTCACGCCGGCCCCATGACCACAAACGTGTCCTCGGACAACATTGGCTTCCTCGGGTAAGAAATGGAGACAAGCACCGCCCCTTAGAGTCGGACAGGGGGAAACAGAAGAACAGAATTACTGCAGAACTATGGACCACCAACTAAGTGTTGGCTTGCCTCCTCTTTAAGTTCCATGCTTTAACGTTTACATCAGTGACTTGCCTGAAGCTGTTTCTCGGAAATTTATTTACGTCGATGATGTCAATCACACAGCCCAAAGAACCAACTTCAGGGATGCAGATCCTTTCACGAGATCTCCAGAAGATGGATCCCTGCTTAAAAAAATGGTACCTCAACCAGGGTCTAGGATGGGTGGGCAACGTTGGCTCTTTTATGATTCGTGGACTTCAACTCCCACAATTCCTGAGTCAGCATGGCCGGTTCAGGAATTCTGGGAGTTGAAGTCCATGAGTCATAAAAGAGGCAAGGTTGCCCACCCCTGGTCTAAGACAACTCACCACGGCCAACTCACTGCGGGACGAAAGTTACACTAATATCAAAGAAATGTTGAAATAGAATCGTTAAAGAAAGGATGCCAAAGGAATAACAGAATCACATAATTGGGAGGAATCCTGGAGGCCTTCTAGCCCAACCCCCACTCAGGCAGGAAACCGTACACCATTTCAGACAAATGGTTGTCTAATCTCTTCTTAAAAGTGGAGGTCTTTCATAACCCACCGAGGGACAAAATGAAATGGGAACGACAAGAAATAAAATATTTCATAAATTATTCTAAATAATGACATTGAGTTGTCCCGCAACGAGTTTCCCACAGTGGCGAGTTGTGCTAGTGACCTGGTTGGGGCGCCATTTTTTGAAGCAGTCATCCCGCTCCAACAAGCCTCACAAAAAACAAGCAGCCACATTCCACCTCAGCAACAGCTATGCAAACTCCCAGCCTTCAGTGAAGTTACGGAACCGTATTTTACAAGGTAATAACTTTTCCGAAGTCCCTGGCCAAATCACTAACTTCCGGCAACACCTGGAAAAAAACAGCTGCAAAATTGGGAAAGCCACAAAAATTACCCAGCAGACTGGCTGGAACATCCCAGGATGCTGATGTTAACCCCCTACGAATAACAGCCTTGGCTTTGGTTTACTCCACAGCTGAGTATTGTGCCGGTGTGTAGCTTAACAGCGTCCACACCCAAATGGTTGACATTTCGACTTTGCCAGACAAGGGGTATCGTCCCTGCCACGTCGCATCCCACTCCTACGCGCTGGTTACCAGTACTTAACAATATCACAGTACTCCATATTAGAAAACAACAAGCTCTTATTCAGCTACAGTCCAAGATGCGGAACAGTGAGGCCCTTCCTACTCAGAAGGACAGTGCGCGGCTCGCCACAAGAGGCCAGCATGGAAAACAGTTACAGGCAGTCCTCGACTTAACGATTGTTCATTTAGCAACCGTCCGAAGTTACAACAGCAGTGAAAAAATGGATTCGTGGCCAGTTTTCACCTTTACGGCCATTGGACCATATCCCCATGGTCACGTGATTTACATTTGGATGCTTGACAGTTGACTCACATTTATGACGGTCGCAGTGTCCCGGGGTTACGTCATGCCCTTTTGCAACCCAACAAGCAAAGTCAATGAAACCAGGTTACTAATTTAACTGCATTGATTCGCTTAACAAATGTGGCAAGACAAATTGTAAAATGGGGCAAAACTCACTTAACAAATGTCTCACTTAACCACATAAATTTGGGACTCAATTGTGGTCATAATTCCAGGACTACCTGTATTTATCCAGTTTAACCCCAAGAATGCCCGGAGTCCTTCCTGGATCCCTGCCATTAATGATCACTCTCCCAAATCACCTGGTTTTGACCTACTTCGCTCTGTGTGGAGGAAATTGAACAGAATTAGGTGTGATACTGGAAGAAGTGTCCCTGCCCTCCTATTGATGGGGATGGAAAGATTCCGCTTGTTGCGATTGTGGTGCTCATATGCAAATTATTAAACATATTGCACAAGATTGCCCACGATAATGTGCGTTCTCTGGTTCCCTAGAAGACCTGCAAGAAGCAACACCAGAGGTGGATAGCTGAATTGGACATCCAGTTAGTAGGTCCCTGCCGTACCCCATAGAAGTTTTGTACATAACTATGTGAATTGTGCGTATATGTTTACTTCTGTCATGTTCTCATCATACACTAAATAAATAATAGTCTGAAAAAGTGTATTCTCTTTCATACTGAAGGAACTCCATGTGCATAAAAAGTAAGCCATGATCCTCTAGAGCAGGGGGTCTTCAGACTCGGCCCTTTTATGACTCATGGACTTCAATTCCCAGAATTCTGGGAGTTGAAGTCCATGAATCATAAAAGGGCCAAGTTTGAAGACCCCCTGCTCTAGAGCAGAGGGGGGGGGATGTCTCCAACCTTGGCAACTTTAAGACTTGTGGATTTCCACTTCCAGAATTCCTCAGTCTTCAGGTTGCCAAGATTGGAGGCCCATGGTCTAGACTTGGAAGGTTTGATTCCAACGCATCCTTAAACGTCATCAAAATAATTGAATTAAATCTGTTGCTTTTAATATCATGTTACTATAACAGTAAGGGATAGAGAGGAGGGTGAGAAAGGAATGGATGAGAACAACTCAGTTGTCTGCTTATTTTACAAATGGCAACTGCCCAAGTGAAGTGAAACCAGGCAGCAGAATTTCAGGTGAGTTAAAGAGATCCCACCTTAATTATCTCACTCAAGGCTGGATAAAAGGTTCCAAGACTGAGTATGTATCCCAAGACTAGCATTAAATATCTTACTGTAATCCAGTGTTTCTCAACCTTGACAATTTTAAGGCACGTGGACTTCAACTCCCAGAATTCCACAGCCAGCAATGCTGACTGTGGAATTCTGAGAGTTGAAGTCCACATGGCTTAAAATTGTCAAGGTTGAGAAACACTGCTGTAATCTGTACTTCTTACTTAACAGAATAACAGAGTTGGAAGGGACCTTAGTCCAAGCTTGAGCAGGAGATCCTATATCATTTCAGAGAAATAGTTGTCCAATCTCTTTCTAAAAAAACCTCCTTGAGGCAGGCTGTTCCACTGGTTAATAATTTTCACTGTCAGGAAATTTCTTCATTGTTAAATCTCTCTCTGATTAGTTTCAATCCATTGCTTTTTGTCCTGCCTTCAGGTGCTTTGGAGAATAGTTTGATCCCCCACCCTTTTTGTGGAAGCCCCCCCAGCTATTGAAATGCTATCGTGTCACCCCTAGTCCTTCTCTTCATTAAACTAGACATGTCCAGTCCCTACAACCATTCTTCATATGTGTCAGCCTCCAGTCCCCTAATCATGTTTGTTGTTCTTATTAAAATAAAATAGAGCTGGAAGGGACCTTGGAGGTCTTCTAGTCCAGCCCCCTGCCCAAGCACTTATACCATCTCAGATAGGTGATTGTCTAGTTTCTCAGGTGATTGTCTAGTGCAGGGGTAGGCAACCTTGGCTCTTTCCTGCTGGCTCAGGAATTCTGGGAGTTGAAGTCCACGAGTCATAAAAGAGCCAAGGTTGCCTACCCCTGGTCTAGTGTCTCTGCACTCTTTCTAGAACAGTGGTTCTCAACCTGTGGGTCGGGACCCCATTTGGGGTCGAACGACCATTTCACGGGGGTCGCCAAACAAGGCTGTCCGCCATTTTTTCCCCTTTTCTTTGGCCACGCCACTGGCACCCGGTGATGTATAAGTGGTTGGGGGTCACCACAACATGAGGAACTGTATTATGGGGTCACGGCATTAGAAAGGTTGAGAACCACTGTTCTAGAATCTCAACATCTGCTGTGTGGACCAAAACTGGATGCAGTATTGTGCAGGGTGGTCTCACCAAGGCATCACAAACTTCAAGTGAACTTGATTTTTTCCCTCTGTCAATGCAGCCTAGGACTATGTTGTCTTTGTAGGGCTTGGCATCAATAATGGTCATAACAAACAGGAGAACAGAATTAATACCAGCTGCCAAACCAAGATTTCCTGTTTTAAGCTACAGATCAGCAGAAAATTGATCTTAAATGAATGCCTCCCGTCTTGAACTCGATTGCACTTAACGCAGCGAATGCAGAAAGCCCAACGGCAATTTCAGACGGCTTTAATTCAGTAAAGCACAATTGCCTTCAGTCTGCCGCAAATTTATATTTATAAACACAGTAGTTAGGAAAATAAAAGACTGTTGGGCATAATGACCTCTCCACTGCAAGCCTACTACTCGAGGAATAACTCATTTCAGCTTTCTAATCATCCAGATCAAAGGAAGCACTTTAAAACACACATGGAAATTAGTTATGGTCTAATTCTGGTTGTGTTTTGCAGACGACGTAGAATCATAGGGACCTCAGAGGTATTTTAATCCAACCCTTTGCTCAAGGCAAGAGCCTTATACCAGTGACGGCGAACCTTTTAGAGACCGAGTGCCCAAAAAACAGCCCCGCCCCTGGCCCCCATCCGCCCCACCCCCTGCGTGCCCACAGGGCCACTCACTGCCTCCACGGCCCGCCGATCGCCCAGGTGGTCCAGCAGTGCCAGGGCAGCCATGCCATCCACCCATGCACCACAGCATCAATTGCGTGCAATGGGGCACAAGGGTGGAGTCTTGTTCCTACTGCCTGGCTGCCATGTCCTTGGCTGCGCTGCTCCACACGGGCCACGCTCAGGGGCCACTCTCCTCCGGGGGACCTGCTGGTGAGGGGGCCACAGGAGGCGGGGCTGGGGCGATGGCGTATGTGCCCACAGAGGGGGCTCTTAGTGCTGCCTCTGGCACGCATGCCATAGGTTCGCCACCACTGCCTTATACCATCTTGGACAAACTGAGCCATCACACCAAAGATGTTTTCATAACACAGTGGTTCTCAACCTGTGGGTCGGGACCCCATTTGGTGTCGAACGACCATTTCACAGGGGTCACCAAACAACGCAGTCCGCCATTTTTTTTCCTTAGCTGTGCTACTCCCTTTTATTCTATTGGCTTTTGAAAGCCAATAGAAGAGACGCTCTTGAATAGAGTCTAATTCTATTGGCTTTCAAAAGCCAATAGGAATTGTCCAGGCTGTCTCTGTCCTGCTAAGCCCACCAAAAGTCCCATTCTGCAAACAGTGCTGCACCAGTTGAGTAGTCCTCAACTTACGACCGGTTGGGGGTCGCGGCATTAAAAAGGTTGAGAACCACTGTCATAACACATTCGTTGTGCTTCTATCACCACCTGATCCAGTAAAGCAGGGGTCCCCCAACCCCCAGTCTGTGGACCGGTTCTGGGCCGCGGCACACCAGCAACTGGTCCGCACAAACAAGCTCCATCCATGGGATGCAGGCAGCACACAAAACCACGCACTCTCCGGTCCATGGAAAAACCTGCAACTGGTCCCTGGTGCCCAAAAGGCTGGGGACCTCTGCAGTAAAGTATCAAATGTGCTATACCCACAACATGCTCACATTTCCCCTTCCACCACCACCACCCCCCAACGTCCCTCAGAGACTCAGCTAAAGGCGTTGTCGTCTTTAAAACACCTTTCTGATCAGTTCAGTTCTCTGAGAAATTGGTCCTTTTTTACCTTTCCTCTGGCACAAATAAATTCTCTGTGCAGTCAAAAATTGTACAGTATCCACTTTGTTTATATTCTATAATAAAGCAGCCTTGTCTGCCATGAATCACACATTTTTCTAATCAAAGAGGTCTTGGCAGAGGAAAACAAGCAAATGGCCATTTTCTTATGTCCACTGAAATCTTTCATTTTATTTTATTGCAGAGAGGTGCTGTGTTACCTTATTAAATTATTAAAGCAGAGCAGAGAGGAAACAAGAGAAAAAAGTAACCCAGAAAAAGATTTTGCTACACTACACATCCAGTAAAACTTCACTGTATTTCAGTACCGGAAGTTCTCCGCTTACAGCCATTGGGTTACTGACTGCTTCAAGTTACAACGGCACCGAAAAAGGGGACTTATGGCTGTTTTTCACACTTACGACCATTGCAGCGTCCCCAGGGTCACATGATCAAAACTCAAACATTTGATAACTGACTCACATTTATGACGGTCGCAGTGCCCCTGGCTCCTGTGATCCCCTTTTGCGAACTTCTGACAAGCAAAGTCAATGGGGAAGCCAGATTTACTTAATAACCGTGTTCCTAACTTAACAGCTGTGGTGATTCCCTTAACAACGGTGGCAAGATAGGTCGTAAAAATGAGGCAAAACTCACTTAAGAACTGCTTTGCTTAACAATAGAAATTTTGGGCTCCGCTGTGGTTGTGAGTCGAGGACTATTTGTGTGCTCTTTCATTAGGCACAATCCATGTCTATAGGTAACTAGTTGGTAAGATACAAGTAACACCAGTTCTTAAAAACTCTCCTTTGATGGCACTTTAAGGGGTAGCGTCAACTGTCCGGCTTGCAAATTCGAGACTGAAGAAACTCTACGGCCTTGAGGTGCCATAAGAGATATTCTTTATTGAATACACATCCCGGCACTGAAGAAGCAAAATCAACTCTCGTTTTCCCACATGAAAATCTGGTTAGTGAACAATGGCTTTTCCTAACCCCTACCCACCGTGTATTCACATTGCCCAATCACATCCTTTCTGTTTGTTCTGGGAACGGTCCACTTCTCC